ATCACGCTCAAGTAAAGGATCCTTTACGCACGAAGAGTTTCAATCTGACTGCACCTAGTGGAATAAGGCAGCAGAGATTACACTGAAGAATGATGGCAGTCTAGTCTGGAATGCCCATAAACTATGTCTACTGTCGGAAACGAAACGGAACGGCAAAGCTATAAAAAAAGTGTACGAAAACGAATTTGAATGTCAGAACATCGAACGATCTTTGATATTCCTTTGTTCTTCAATACTTTAGATTGAGGAAAATGATTAAATTGGAAAAGAGCATACAGAAATTGCATAAGCTTTGCAATCCAATGGTGCCAAGATAAAGTTGACGGGCCAACCTTGGGCAAGGATTTCGATATAAGCTTGCAGCCCGCCAGTTTCCTGGGCTCGGCTGGCAAAAAATATGATGATCAAATTTGCCTGCTGCAAGAGCAAAATCCCGCACGCTCTTGGGGAGTCATAGATACCAAGCTGCGGCTGACTGTGGCAGCCGCTGTAACAGTTTCCTCCGTGGTTGTCGGCCTGGGTGGCTTAAGCGCTGTTCCACGCCCAATCCTAGATTAATAAAGTTCTAAAACTTGTTGGGATTTGTTTTGCGTTTACCTGGGAGCAAGGATGTCATTACCGCGCATGCAAATATGCCCACAAATGTAGTATATGCTTCTACCCGGGCCACGGGGCTGTAGTGTGCAAACTAGGGAAGTCGACAAATGTTGGTTCACCGTATTCTTCGCTTAAGGACGATCAAGTTCGTTAGCCCATGATCACTTTGGGCATCACAAGTATAAACCCAGTCAGAGTGCTATTTTATACCGAGCTAGCTATTGCTAGGCATTCAACACATTCTACTAAGGTTTCCTCTGGGAATTCCTTTCGCCCCCAATACCAATTAAGATCTTTGTTTTACGGAAGTGGTTAGCGCGTTATACTAAGGCAGCTGATGCGTAACCGCTGGAGAGGGGTTTCTCACACGGTCTTTCGTCATTATTTCGTGATTAGTAAAACACAGCAAATTTTCAAAGTGAATGGAATTTATTACGTTTAACTTAACTTTGTAATCCACAGAATATATCAGGCGTGAATGGTGGGGGGTTGAACCCTCAGTTCTGAAAAAAAGGTAAAAAAGGGAAACATTATCAAAAATAACTAAGGTAAGTGCATCAAAATACCATTGCCAACAATATATATATAATGTTAGTTTTCCGTCATCGCTTTCCCTTTTCTGCAAAATTATACATTAAAAATTCTGGTCTCACCCCCATCAGAAAAATCCTGGATTTGCTTTCTATATACACCTATAAAGTGATGTGTGAAATTATGTCTTCCATATTTGCTTGGGCGTTAGATTTCATTTACTTGCATCTGAATATAAAATACCACTTCAGACCTTGGTGCAAAACCTGTTTACGTTATTAGGACGACCTAACAAACTATTTACATTGGCTCATTATTTTGCTTGTTAATAGTGAGATTATTTAAGGTAGTATTTAAATTTAGTTTCACGCCTTCTGTGTTCATGTTAATACTTTGCTACATGTTACAAGTCATCGTCAGTTCACCCCTGTGGTGATGCTGACGATGCTGTTGTGAGCGACAGGTTGGTGTAGGCGGTGACTATTGGGTGATGCCAGATACAATGGCCCCTCTCGAACTACAGACAGCACTACTCATTGGGTACACTGCCTGTGAAGGATTTGAAATTCATTTATTGTAGTTTTACACAAGGTCATATAATCACTGGGGGATCTCCTTGAAATATCTTTCATGTCAGAACACAGTTCGGACTAAATTTCGGATTGTTTTAGATAGCCATTTCACAAAATGTCCAACTGATTGTAATTTTTATTTTTAACACTGGCTTTTGACTGCCGAAGTACAATTATGAAGTACAATAATGACAGAAAGAACATTTATTGAAACTGAACTGATATTAGCAATGGGATGAGGCAATCAACTAATGGCTGTGTTTCTCGCCGCGTGCGAGGCCATCATTGTTAATGATTCATGTTATACGCACCGCAAGTGAAAGATCAACGTCATTGCAAGAAATTCAGGCTTCACTGATGGAGCTCTGTTGATGTTTAACGAATTCCAGCACTCTTGTCGTCATGTTAAATGTGTTTTTTAACCCCAACACTCCTCAGTCCTCCAACAGGTGAAGGATTGAGGAGGGTTAGGGTTATAGCTTGTAATATTGTACGTATGCTACGTGTAGGTCAAAACGAAGTCCAATAAGCATTCGAACATCTTTCCCAAATATTTCGAAGAGTGAGTTCGTATGAAAAAAAGACTTCCCGATTTGCCCCCTTCCTTAGCTTTACCATTGAGGAGAATATTGTGAACTAAATATGAACACATATTCCCGCATTAATATTTCAAACAGTAAGGACGGTTTCATCATTTATACGTTAATGGTGTTGCTCATTCGCAAATACTTCAAACATAAGTCACTGGATTGGCCCGTTACGTGGGATTTTGATAAACCGCCAACAGTTTAACAGCTTAATTCCATCATTATTAAACCCTGTTGCTTTGTTGAGATCATTTAGCTTGGAATAGGAATTAGAGACATAATAATTAATAAACATTGAAATATAAAGTATATATTTCTCACCTTTTAATTAAAGGAACAAATCTGCAACTGAAGCCCGAGGCTAGACAGTTGTAATACAGGAACGCCAGCTCAATACAGTGTTTTATAAGCAACCACATTGTATAGGCGTGTGTGTTGCTGATAGTTGCGGTCATGATGCAGGTGTCGATAACGTATTGTGCTTTGATATCTGTTATACTATTGCCTCTGAATATATCCTCGCAGTGGACATTCGAATTATAACAAAAATGTAACTTTCATGAACGGTCCAATTTTGATTAATGGAGATTTGGTTAGGATTTTGGCTGCCTTTATCTGAAACGAGTGCATCGTTACAAAATTCCCACATGAGATAACTTTAAGGGGAAACGGCATTTCGTGAGATAAAAATAAATGCTTCAAACTACGAATTGCTTTGTTATTCTAACAAGCTGGATCAGTGCACAAGGCATCCTTCATACGAGGGAGATTTTGAGGGTTGGCTGAGATTGGATTAGGATCCGTAGTGCCAGGCCTCGGTTGTTCTCACGCACAAACCTCGCGGGACCTTTCGAGACAAAGTTTGCACCCCCCTAAAAAGCAGGGACCTCAGAATATCCTCATTAATTTGGTAAACCAACATGCTTCATCACCAATGCAAATCTCATTGGATAATAATGGCTTTGTTAATCCGATACTGGGAAATGGTCAAAAGATAAATTGTCCCCTGTAATTGTCAATATGTCACAATTAACGCGCCAAATTCTTACTTTATACTTTTGGTATGCAAGTCACACATAATGCATGTAAAGCAGTTACTCAAACTGGGCGAATGGACAAAACGCAAACAAAGTTAACGGTAAAAACATAAAGGAATCAATGTATTTCAGCACACATTACTTCTTTACTGTTTACAATCTACAAATCAATGACAAATTTCATGGAAATTGCATATTTGGACTTATAATGTATATAGGTAAATTTTCACAGATTATGTTGCCTTTCTTAACAGTTTTTACATAATCGTATACATTAAAAACTTGTAATAATTCAATATTTAGATAAATTATTCGAATCCCTTTATAATTCTCAACATTTTAAATTGAATTAACATTGATCATGAGATAGCTCTACATTAGAACAACAACCATAGCTTTTGTTTAGTGGCTGTAGGCTTGCTAATTTTTTCTTTGAACACTGAGCGTGCGCTGTCGCGTAGGAATATTGCTGAACCAAATGAAAGAATGCCACAAAACCTCTTGTTTGTGCTAACACATTTTCATTGCTCTATGAATTAAGAACAGTAGAATAATTTCATAGATTTATAATTTCTAAAATGGATAGGACTGAGCACATAGCCGGCTTCTGCAAATCTGTGACCTCTCAACTCACTCAAACGTCAAAAACGTGCAAGCCCGCCAAGTTACGAGTGACCAGAACCCACAGAACCGGAGATTTCTAACCTTGGCGGTAACCATGTGTGAACGATAGTTACTTGACCAAGTCAATGAAGCTGAGAAGCCTCTACGTGTACGCAAAGATTTTTCTGATTCACGACGCATGTTCTACCTAAGCATGAAACGTGTTGATGACATCAAATGCAATGAAAGCTGCTACCTTTTTTATTTCGTCGACTGTCTCTGTTCCATTTTAACAACTGACACAAAAGTACTAATTTTAACTATACTAAATCCGTGAATCTCAGGTGTACCCTTTTAACTTTAACATTTTGCTAATGTTGAGATTAAACTAAGTAACAAAACATCACTACAACGTCACAATCGTAGTAGTAACACAGTACACATTAAATCACCCACATTCAAAATGACTGTAGTTTGAGCAAATTGTAGATGATTGCAAAGAAATTCATGTCAAATATTTCATCAAACTTTGACTTACCGGGAACCTAATCACAAAATATGTGCATGTTGAACATCACATCTCAGTATAGCCACATCCACTTTAAGTCTCATTATTTATATGCTGATAAAAATACACCAGGTAATTTTTTTATTTCATTTATACATTTTCCATTCAAAATGTTTGTACCCATGTTTAAAAACGTACAATTTTTTGCATTTCTTGTTTGTGATTAGTTCGTCAGTGATAATGAATATAAGAGTCACAGCTTTTATTTTTTTCGATAAAAAGCATTTTTCAAGTCACAAATATTTGGATTCTAACCCAGCTGTACTGTGAACAACACTGACAGATCCAAAGTGGATTAAGTGTTTCCTAGTTTGTCATACATTTTAGAATTTTGAACAAGAAGTCTTGCAACAGAACAGGATGTATACCTGGCAAGATATGGGAGGGAGGGGTATCCCCTTTATGTCCAATCCCTATACACACTCTAGACTATTGTTACCTAACACATCCCCCTAGATGTCAGTAAAGAATTCCTGAGATTCCGATCAAACAATGACCAACACAAAGGTGGGGGTGCTCTCCGTCCCATATCTTGCTTTATATGACAGGAAACGAGAGCGAATTCAAAATACTCTCCAAAGTGGACGGTGTACGCACAGCACGAAGCTGGCCACCTGCCCAAACTAAAGTGAAACGGGTGACTGAGTGACACCGAAGCAGTTTAAACCGGAGAGAAATTACAATTTGGATGAATAAAAGCAGTTCTTTGTACCAATAAAATACGCTGTCGCTTTAAAGGCTGAGAAAATTTAACAATACGCTTATGCTCTGAGACTTATTATTAGGTCCTGGTAAATTGTTTCTACTGTTTGTCTCCGATTAGTTTAATAAGTGCAAACGCATCTTCATTTCACATTTGACTATTCGATGGCCTTCCCATCCAGCCCAAACTATACCACGATCATTTGACCATGGTTGATATTCCCCATTAAGGCCGTACGGAGCACCGGAGGTACCATTGCATGTGTCGAGCCACCAGCCTCCCTTCAGCTCAGCTGCACAATTAGAATTGGTATCCTCATCATTGTCCATGTCGTAGGTAGAGAAGTTTCGCCCGTTGAGTTGAGGAGGGGCTGGATATGATAAAGACACAAATTGGAAAACAGCTATGTTGATGCTTGTCGATTCACTCTCACCAATTTGATAAGAAGCATGATAACGAGTGAATTAAAAGAGAGTGTACAAGCATTGCAGTGTTGTGGATCCTAGCTGAGATGCCAGTTTTCAAGTAATTTATTTATGCTGGAGTGTGGCATGATCACATGTTCCTTTGCCCTATTGTCTTTGTGATTCGTGTGCCTGAGCTGCAAGGTGGAAGTCTACCCGCATGGCTGTGTGACCGGGGGTGGCATGGTAGGGTTTGACTTTCTGTCAGTTATTTTTCAAGATGATTGTATAAGCAATCGTTATTTTTTATTTCACCTCTTCAAACGGACCTTGGATTCTTGTAAATGCTAAGGCAGTAAGTCATGTGACTACTTGGGATGGAAGATGTCAATTTGTTGAGTCTTCAACCATGCTGCTATTTTTATCGATGTATAAGCTCCCACAAACCTTAAAAAATCTCAGTGTTTTCTTGGCTCGATGGTCAGGTGCGGCGAACTCAAACCTTATTGTACGATGCGTAACCGGACGTGTCATGCGGTGGACCGGTTGTTGTGCAATTCGTTATCGTTGTAATAGTGTAAAAGTCAGTGCGTTTGGAAGTCCAGCTGTACAGCTTTAATTTACCTACTGCGGCTTATAACTAACCAAGTGCGGGCTCGGTATATACCGCTGCCCCGTCCGGTTGTTGCCCTGTCACTATGGCGGGGCAGTGCCGCTACAGCCTAACCGATCCAAGTATCGGTAGCCTCGTACAGTGCCCTCTCTGTTTGGCTAGAACCCTTGGTACTGCTTACTGTAAGAATTCAGTGTTTCCTTTCTTTGTGATTTTTCCACCTAAATGTTGCGCCTTCATGTTGAGATGTTATAGGTAGCCTAACTCCTTGTAATTAAACAATGACAGTAGAGAGTAAAACAATAAACCAGATGAAAGTTTGACTGTCACCCAAATCCTTGCATCCCGCTCACTTTTATAACTTGCTGACCTCGAATATCACTCCTAAACTAAACTAAATAGCAACCCTGCTACCACCAGCCTAATTTTGAGAAAACGTAACATAATTATTTAGGACTGTATTATGCAGCCAGAGGTTGGCAGTTTATCGCTTTGATACTTCATGGTCATTTGTTACTCCGAATCGTATAGGTTAGAGGTAGCTTATTAATGTTTAGGTAAAGGTAGGGTGTAGGGTTACTAAAGGACCATCGTTGCAGTGTTTCAAACATACTTATCATTGTTTCAAAAAACCCACCGGTGAGGCGTATTTCTATGGTACCACGTACCCAAATAATAAACTCGTTCACCGTGATTCCAAGTGTATTTGTCGCCGCTGATGCTGAATTCCTTGGCCTGGTAGATTTGATGCTCTCCCAGGTCATCCTCTAGGTCTATCCGTACCATCCAACCCTTTTCCCACCCCTCTCTCCCTGAAGTCAACTGACGAAGTTTCTGGTTTCCCAGCCAGAATTCGCCCGTCAGATCGCCGAATCCGTCTCGGTACTCGGTCCAGTTGCGAGTGAAATTCACTGACCCAACAAAACGCTTCTGAAAAACCTACAGCCACATAATTTACTTACAACTAAATAATTTACTTTTACAGGACATTTTTTTGAAGAATGCATATAAATGGGTGTCGTACTAATTTTTATTCCCTTTCGGCATTAGCGTATTTATGGAAGGAAGGATTAGGATGACATGTATCTCCCCCTGCTTTGTCGGCGGTGCATGATTTATTTAGGTTCTTTTCATGGTCTACATCCAAAATTTACAAAATAGCGATGAAATAGCTCCAAGTGCAAACAAAACTCAACTGAAGTACCCTGTTTTAAGACTTCTAAGACTCGCTTTCTCTGATTCGGTAAGTTTAACGTTTTGTAGTATCTACATTTAGTTTGATCAGTTGTCACCATTGCTAGATGCCCTCATCTCTCGATTCATTGATTCGTCTTTTTTACTGTTCTTCAGATTTTCAATGATATAAAATTCTAAGGAGTTATCCTATAGTTTCATTTACCAATCTTTAGAAATATGTCTACAAATCAATTATATTTTAAACCAGCTGCCTTTTATTGTGACCGTTGTTGGTAAATTCGTATATGCCGACACTGCCCGAATCGCTTTCTTCGGGAGTTGGTCATTTCACCTGTTCTTAAATATTATTTCCTTCACGGAAAAACAGAAACAAATACAGGTCTATAAAGCAAAGCACTGTAAAACCACGAGTTTCACAAAAAACATAAACGCAACATATTCTAAATATTCATTTTCAGCTATTTGTGTCTTTTCTAGGTGTTAGTCGTCCACTCAGTTTAATAATCCCCTGATCGTTGTTGGATTCTGATGAATAATGGAGGCTACACGACAGTTAGTGCAGTAGGCAAAATAGGGGACATATTCGTATCATTTTGATTAAAACACTTTAAAAACAATGCAAGGAAATGTTCACAGCTATCCCCGTTTTCACTCTTACACATGGAATTCACATTCCATCTTGTGGAAGACCAATGACGAAAATCATGTTGTCGTGTTGTTTGCTTATTCATAGAAACTGTGCAGTTTAAAAAACTACTAACAAAAAGAAAAATGGATCAGGTTAACTTTCAGCAAAAAAGGAGAAACTATTCTCTTGGTAAACCAATCTTTTGATTGTATTACCTCCCTTTGAGGGAAAATCCACTCAGAGGGAAGGATACCTTTCCCTAACGTGACAAGACAGACTTACCGTCCCGCCGAGTGCGAATTCCATATCACAATAGACCTCCAGGCCGTCAGAAAACGTCAACGGGTAGATGGTGTACACAGCATTCTGGCGGATACCACGAGAATATAACTCACGACAGTCTGAGAAAAAGACATATTTAATGCATTGTAAACAGTGCGTATCCAGCTTTTGAGGGGAGGGGGGAGCAAAACGATTTAAAAAAAGACGATCCACTTTTTCGTCCATAACACTTCATCCCAGCCCCTCTCGCAAAACGTGGCAGTACTGTTTCGAAAATGGCAAAGTGTCTTCAGAGGAGACAACCTGTCTATATCCCCTTCCGACATCCGCCAATGACTGTAAAACCGACCATTATATGTTCAGAGATCGGTCAAAAAAATTAACCTAATTTCAACATTCGCGTGTATGTGTTTTTACCTGGTACATCCCGTAAGGATTCATATTTGTTTGCCCATCATAAATTATCGTATAGTTGTAGTAATGATGACTGAGAGGCTAGCTGTATGCTGTGCATATTGGGACAAGTGCATGGTGACTGAACCGGGGAGTCAATGGCGTAGCGGTTCTTTCCGCCTTCCACTTCTGCGGAGCGGGTTCGATTCCCCAGCTCGGTCCAAACGGGCATTGGGTTTTCAGTCCCTACCTGATTTCGTGGGTTTTTTTCCCCAGAATAATCCTCTGAGGTTTCCCTCCCACCTCAAAAACTGTAACTGCTTCTCATTGTCTCCTCACTGCAGGTTTCTTCAGGCTTGCGAGCTACAGTACTTGGGGCGCTTTTGAGGAATCCTTGGTGTCATTACCAGAAATTGATAATAATTCACCTGTGCAATGTTCTGCCCAACGGAGCATCGTCAGTTCTGGAAACTTGGGGATAATTTGTGAACCACAAAGCAAAAGTATGAGTGAAGTTTATTTCACCATTGCTTGAAACAGGAAGTCAGCCTTTGGTCTTACCAGAAGGTTTGTCCTCACAGCATGTTCCTTTGAAACCGGGTGCACATTCGCAACGAAAAGAGCCCTGGTTGCCCAATTGCTCCCTGCACGTTCCTCCGTTTTTACAAGGGTTAGAATTGCAAGGACCTGCACACAATCAGGTAAAAATAAAAAAATCGAGTTTCCTGTTGGTCAAATGACAACATAATTACAAAAATGACATCTGAAATAAGTAAGGCTTTTTGCAGTGTTAAACATTGAATTTAACTTTAAAAAAAACTTAAAGAGTCGCCGGATATGATGCACCCTCCCCACCTTGGACAAAGGTGAATTGAACTGTAAGCACCTTGACACAGTTTAATAAAAAAAAATCAGTGATCAGTTCAAGGATTAGTCCTTGATTTATCGGAACATAGAGATAAACACAATAAAACGAGAAAAGGGATACGACCGTTTCGGTCCATCTTTTTTAAATCTAAATTTCTCAAAATAAGGTGGAATTTTGATTCATTGGGAAATATCAGAAAACCTACAAAGAAAGTCTCACCCATTTAAAAATCTGTACACACAAAAAGTCAAATTAGTCTCATTCTCCTAACTCCAAAAGGAGTCTTTTCGAGATAGAAAAGCTGTTATACCTTACCCATGAAGCTTGTTCATTAAAAAAATACATGCCAATAAATATGTGACTATCTACAAGCAGGAAGAAAACTAAAAGCCATTCTTGAAGCAATCAGTCTTTTTGGTTGCCATATCTGAGAGACATTCTGCTCAGATAGAACTCCAAATTATAATGTGGAAAAAAGACAGTGTTGAGTTAAGTAGGGAATTGATTAGGGGTGCGTTTCACACGTTTCCTGTTGAAAACGGCGCAGGTTTTGGTGGTATATTCAAAATAATGTTGATGGACGGAGGTGGGGAAATTAATCTACTGGGAGCTGGTAAAACTTGGTACCTTGGGCTTTTCCTTTAAAGCATGTGCCTCATTGACAAGGGACTCGGACAGATGACTGCAGGGTGTCTATTTATTGCCCGAAATGAAGTGCCCAGATAATGTGAGAGTCAAGACATTATCGTTTCGACAGATGGTTTATTTAATTAGGAAAATATATTTTTTTATCACTACTAAAACTGGATCAGTGTGTACAACTTGGAGAGGTGCCATGAGCGTCATTCAAAGTGTCGTTATGAAGGTCCTTTTCAGAAAAAAAAGACGTTAAAATTTGTGCCCCTGTAAATTTTCAGTAGGCCAGTTGATCATTATCCTTTTCCTTCACTTGCCATTTTCGAATGCCCACATAAATTAAAATATTTTAGTGAAATGGTCTATTACATGGATAGTTGCCGGGAACGATGAAGTCACAAATGTAGGCCAAGTAGAACAAGGCTACCAGCAGAATATCGGGTATAGGCCCTAGATCTATAACTTTTGCCGGTCAGGGACTTTGCAGACGAAGCAATTGCCCACCTATTCGCCTGTTCGTTCTTTGGAACTTATGAATGGCTTTGCTCAAGATGGTTGTGTCTTAATGACATATCGTAAAATTATTAAAACTAGCAGCACTGCCTGGACTCTGCGTGGAATGGGATCATCTTTGCCAATGTGACAAACCCGTTCAAGATTGGCAGATCTTATGGCAGTCTCTCAATCCAGGTTGGATTTATTTAATTAAGAATAAACGTTTGCTCAAGTCTCAAAGAACAAAAAAACCATTAGAGTGTCCAGACTCTGAGTCTCGTTTCCTTCGGCGCCTGTAACTGTGCAGAGATTACCCACATAGGGATAAGACCAATCGTAATTTAAGGGGGAAAATTGGTTCTATGCACTAATTATGAGCCTTGCACCGCCAATTACAAGACAGTGCAAAGCAATGTCTTAATTTTCTTTCTATAATTCTGCAAACCCTGGCAATATCACTCTGACTTATCACAGAATTTGACCAAAAAATGCATTTATTTCATACACGTGCGCTTGTTCGAATTGTTTATGCGTTTGAAATTTTGTGTCAGCACCAGCCTGATGGAAACAAGATTTATGTTGACAGTTTAGTTTTTAAAAAAGGACAAAAATCAAAAAATATTTCTTCTAAAGCTTCCAAAGTTTCATGCTGTCTTTACTCAAAGTAGAGAAGTTTATATTGTCTGAATGATTCATTTCTGTCAAATTTTGAACTTGATTGAGTGTATTAAAATCAAATTCTTTATACAAATTTAATCCTGACGTGTCCAGTTTCTAGATACCAACTAAAGTCTTCATCTCTCAACAGTACCTAATAACATGAGAAAATTGCTTCATTCTTTTTTATTTTGCACCCCCTCAGAAAGAGAAAAACTAAATTATACATGATTTTCAACTTAAAAGAGAGCGATATTAACCAAAAGTTGTTGATACTTTTTCGGCGAGAAATTCTCAATTGCTCATTTACTTTCTCAATATATTTTTGTGCTTTCACCGCACGAAGAAGGTTTTACACATTTTAGCAGTTGAATGATAACTGCTGGTTTGGCAAAAGCTATACACGGGCATAACATTAGCTGGAGTCTTTTTGCAACAGGCCGATTCTTGATAAAATGTGAGATTTTTTGGATTTGACTCAGGACTTTGACTCACGCACTCACGCAAACAGTATGATCGTTATCACAATGCTGGTAGATGATCTGTCAAAGGGGATATGTTTTGCAGGTATGTTTCAAAACTGAGCCGGGACATGAAGTTCGCTAGAATCAGAGAAGAATCTGGAAATTTACTGTCTTGGACTTGACTTACCGGTATCTGTGAAGTCATTAGTGGCATTCACCGAGTATCGAGGTGTGTGCTCATCTTCATCATAGTAAACACTCCCTGGGGTTGCAGTAAAGTTTCCAGGATGCTCTCGTCTTGTGGCAAGGTTCAACTCGCACATTTTGTTGTCGTTGAAGTTAAAAGACTTGCAACGTTCATCCATGCGACAGTCCCGTCCGCAGATGGCACGAGAGCGTACACGCATACGTGCGTACGCAAACCCTTGTAGTGCACGATTTTCCGCAACGTACATGGTTTTATGGAATGGATTACATTGATGGCCAAAGGCAAAAGTGACCATTACCCAAAGCAGTAGCAGCCAAAAAAAATCGAAACCAGCGCAAGGTTTCGCCATTGCAGAACTTTCTTGCATTAATGACCAATCGAATTTTGCTGAATGTTCCTCACTTACTTATAAAATCTAGGCTCAACAAAAGACCAAACCGTCATTTTGAAAGGAATAAGGTGATATATACGTGTTGCAATACTGGTGCTACCAGTTTGGGTGTGTAGGGAGAGAGACCACAGTGAATTCTCTGGCTTGTCCCTTTATGAGGTCAGGCTCCACCAATGGTACCTTGGGTCAGGGGTCACGGTTTTACATTGAACAAGCATTGGCACCTGCAGCATGACTTGGGTTTTTTTTCATAATTACCAAATTACAAAATAAGTTTCCAAGTGAATGGATTTTATTAAGTTTGATTTAACTTTGTAACGCATAGAATTATATATCTGATGTGTAAAAAAGTATTTACTCACGTAATGACTCACTCCTTGGATGGTGCTGATGATGCTGTTGAGAGTGGATGGTGGGGAGTTGGTGGTGACAAATTGGGTGATTACTTCATAATGGCCGCTCTAAAATGATGTATTACACAACTTTATGCGCACCCGGGGCCGTGCAGCCTTTAAAAATTCATATATTGCACTTTATCACAATGTCATGTAAACATTGGCAGATCACCTGGCACAGTTTGTCACGTCAAAACGCAGCTAGGACAGATGATCTTGGATTTCACCGAGCCGCCACTACAGTCCAAATAATAACAAGACAAAAGAGAAGCAAGTTTTCATTTTATTGAAACTGATCTGACAATAAGCAAGAGGATGAGGCCAGCACTTAATGGCTGTGTTTCTCGCTGTACGAGGGCCATTATTGTTAATGATTCATGTTATATGTACTGCAGGTATCAATTCAGGGTTCACCGACGGAGCTGTTTTGTATAATTCCTTTTTTATGTGCAATGACTTCCAGTACTCTTGCTTTCATTTTAGATGTCATAAGGTTTGTAATATTGCATGTCTCCTGTGAGTACTTCAATGCAAAGTCCTACAAGCAGCTGAAGATATTTCCCAAAATTATGTCCTAAGAGTTAGTTTGTATAAAAAGACTTACTGATCCCCCAGCCTTTCGCTAACATTTGGCAAAATATTGCCAACTAAAATAAAAAAAAAGCAACTTCTGCCAGTAATGTTTCAAACAGTAAGAGCGGTTTCATCATCAATGCGTTAATGCTGTGTAGCTTACTCGTGCATACTTCAAACATGAATACCATCGGAATGGCCAAACCCGTCACGTGTGATGTTGTCTAAACGGTGTCAGTAAAGAAAGCAAATGTCTACTTGAGCTAAATTGCACTATTATTTCCAATAAAATCTCTGTTGCTTTCCGCGGCTTGGTTTTGATAGTTACAAAACAAATTGTTCGCAGACACAAATTAACTAAACATTTGAACATCCTTTTAAAGGAATGAAATATACCTTAACTTGAAGTCCGAGGCCAGGAAGTCGTAAAACAGGAACTTCAGTGCAGCCTTAAAATATAGTACGGCGTATGTCGTTTACGGTTGCGGTTTTTCATTAATAAATTGTGCTTTGACAGGTATTACGCTATAGCAGCCGAACTAATCATCGATATCCTCGCACTGTACATTACCATTAATGTCTTGTCGCGATCAACTTTCCTATATAATATACATTTTCGATTAATGAAACTTTGCTCCTTATATTTCACTGCACCGTTATAGAATCCCCAAATAAGAGAACTTTTAGGGGAAAATATCATTGTGTGAGATAAATATAAATGCATTTACCTATAAACTGCTTGTTATCTTGAAAAGCTGAGGAAAACAGAGCAAAACAAAACAAAACAAACCGGACAACAGAGAGGATCTCGGGACGTCCTCATTAATTTGGTTAACACCAACATGCGCATATCAGTAAATCACATGTCGTTGGGTGATGATGGATTTGTAAGCAATGCCGTGGAAAAGGTCAAGAAATAAATTGTCAGTGTCATCACCAACTTGTCACATGGTGAATTAAGGCCGCCTATTCTTGCTTTCCTTTGTGCATGCGCAATCAATGTTAAAGCTAACGCATTCAAAGCAATTTCGTATGCAAATTGAGCAACTTGACAAATAGCAAACAAAACAGAACTGAAAACACAATCAGTCAGTGCATATAGGCACATTTTACTTTTTACTGGTTTAGACATCTACCAATGAACTAATTATACATTTCTTGCAAATAATATGTTTTAATAAGGATAAAAATACATGCCAATTTTTCTTCGATTATTCCAAAATGGGACCGTTCCGTTTTCCAATATTTGAACTGAAATATTTTCCACTTCATC